GTTCGTTTGGTGAACGGCTCCAAATTTTCTTTAACGGAGAGTCTCCAGACTGATTTGCGAGTGAAACTTTGAAAGCTCGCGAGATCAGGATGGTCTCACGAGGCTGCAGGTTATCCTGAGCCATCTTTAAAATTATGCTGCTATAGGCTTAGACTGCTGGAGGACATAGGGGCCAGTTTTCATCATTCTGCTTTATTCTTTTTCTCCTTAGATAGAAACCTTTGAATCAATTTGACTGTATGATCTGGGGGAACTGTAAAGTACATTTAGACAACATGTGTTGTGAATTGGCGCTATAGAAATAAACTGAATTAAATTGAATTCTATGTCTATTCTGAAATTACGCATTATTCGTTGGTTTTATTTCTATCTTTATGCTCTCTTTGCTTTTTCTCATCACAGCAGCTTCATCTGTTTGGTTCTGTTTAGCTATGACACCATCCTGGATATAGATGATAGATTCAGAGACTTGTTTCAATCAGTTGGGTTCCATTAGACGGCCAACTTTCAACCACTCTGTTTGATTTTACAGAACTTTCTGTAAAGTGCCTTAAGATTCCATGTATTGTAGTTGTCGCTATATAAATACACTGAATTTATTTCATAAATAAATAAAATAATATTTATACGTTTAAATGCTTAAATAAGATGTTGCCTACACTGGTCCCCAGGGACCCCTGTCCTGCATGTTTGAGTAAACACCCTGTAGCATCACATGTGGGTCATTAAAAGTACCTGATGGTTGTAGAGGAGAAGCAACGGTTTCATTCATCTTAATCAGAAACATCTCAAAAACTGGAACCTTGTTTACATTTTTAGGCTATCAAAAACTATAAGCAGCGGAGACAAAAATCTGAGCTCACCCCATCCAACGATGCAGAACTTGAGGATGTATCGGCGTATGTAGGTGTTGAAGACCTTGACCAGAGCGATGTACATGTGAACGGACTCCAGGCCCATCCAGGAGAAGGAGGTCAGCAGAAAGTAGTGCAAAAGGACAGCCGCAGACGTGCACAGCCCCTCGTTTTTGACCATAGTGGCAAGCCACCCGTCTAACAGGAAGACAATGTTGAGGAACAGCAGCGACGTGCTGAGGTTCATCAGGATCTTAGATGGATAATCTCGTCGCAGCTTCCTGTAAGGATGGAGAAATAAAGCCTTCAGTAGGTTCATTTCTTATATTGCTTCTCCAAGAATGCTCTACAACCCGTTCTAAATCAAGGAACTCACTCAAATGCGATGTAGGTGAGCAACGTGGCAGCAGAACAGATGGCTGAGATGCCGCAGCCAATGTAGGAGAGGAATGTCAGGACCCTCTTGTTCTCTGGATCCATTCGAATTGAACTCTGGGAAATGTCCTGCATGGAAGAAAACCAGATCAAGAAGCACAGGGGGATCTGCTTAGTGTTATTCCTTTAAAACATTCATGGCTTAAGGTAGAACAAGCCAGGCAGCTTTTTCAATTCAAAATGTCAGAAATAGCTTTGAGTTCCAGGCTTTATAGAGTTGTTTTTGTCTGTTTCAAGTTGTTTTCTAAACAGAAATAAGGCTAGGCTGATCTATAAAGCCTAGAACTCAACCCTATTTCTGGCATTTTGAATTGAAAAAGCTTCCTGGATGGGAAGCGAAACATCTTCAAACTTGGAAACAAAGTCCAGCGGATTGTTTTTTTTTTTAACTTTTTTGGTTTTACTCCAGAGTTTCATTTCATTTCATTCATTACCCTGAAAGCTTGCTAGCCTACTGTCACAGGACTTTACTGTTACTGCTGTGGAAAAGTGCTATTGGCTTTTATTATGCTGATTTTCTTCATCAAAAAATCAAACAATATTTCAGCAAAACAAAACTTTTATATTATATATATTATTTACTACTCCCCATCTTTAATCATTCTCAATTAAAAGATAATAATAAAAAAAAACTATGCATTAAAAAACAGCCTTTTTTTCTGTGAGGTGTCAAATGTGTTTGATTTATTCATCTTCAGTAACATTTCTTGTGATTCCTGAACAAATTTATTATCAGAAATATATAAAAAATGAGTGCAGACACTGATGGCTGCAGTCGTCTAAAACACGTCTCACCATCAGGATGCCAAAGTGAGTCAGATGGTTGCAGTAGCAGACCGTCCTGCTTGTGTTCGACTCTTCGGATACAACGCAGCCTTGTTTATTCCAGCCTCCGTCTCCCTCTGGTGGGCAAAGAAAGGCATTGCATTAAATCTACCAGCAGGTAATAATAAACTTCATCCTAAATAAAAAGCTAATTCATTCATTGGGTAAATTATCTAAGAAAATGAAAACATATTACACCTTTCTGCTTTCACATTGTGATTTATTCTGGAATATGTCTTCTGCTATAATGTCTATGATTAAAAGAATAAATATTGTAATACATCAGAATCACACCTGAGAAAGTGAACTCCAGGAGATGTTAAAAAATATAATTATAGCAAAGTTCAGGATGATACTATTATGTGTGCAGGAGACGGTTTCTGGCCGATATATTCCAACAACCTGCTGTGAAGCTGGGAAACTAAATGTGGACAGACTCACTGCGCATGCTGAAGTCCCAGAAAACACACTCCCTATTTGAGGGGACCTGTGGGGAAAACCAAAGGAGAGGATGCTCACTGTCAGTTTATTACCTACTAACATTAAAGGAAATAAAATTAAATTATTCACGTCGTTCCTATCGAATGGAAAAACAAAGATAGACCAGCAGAAAATGTAACAAAATACAAACAATTAAAGAATAAATAAATAAAAAAATAAATAAATAAACAAAGAAAGGTCACTAAAAAGATTTTCTCTGCACCAAACCTGTTATAAAAAGAACAAAACATTTTTTTTAAGCAAATAAATACAACAGAGAAAAACACCCAGAAGGGATTTTATTAAAAAAGTATTAAAATGATAAAATTAACACCCCCCCTCTGGACCTTAGAAGAAAATATTCATAAAAAAGGCATCTTTTTAGCTCCTCAGGGGAAAGCTTGGGGGCTTCAAGGTCACTTCAGAGTAGTGATGGTTGATGAGAAGTCATGATAACCTGACTGCGCCAGATGGATTTGCTCCGCATATCCATCTGGAAACCTTCCGT